GTTTGTTTCTGTACCCACAGAATTATAATGCCAATTTTCTACTGAGCCATTCTTGGAATTAAAATGTAACAGGTTATATTTACATTGGGTCACTAACAGAAAGCCTGGTGCCAATTTCCTACAAGTGATTGTGTGAAGGAAAAAGTGAGTTGAGAAAGTTGAACAGTTGAAATGTACAGTTGAAAAGGATGGGCTTTGAGATGCTTTTTAAGGCTGACCAGAGAGATAGAAGGGGATGGCACACCACCATTGGCCGTCACCATCCTGAGGCAAGACTCAAACCTGGACCTCCTGCAGAGGCCAGGGTGCTACCACTACTTGATATCATTAGGTTTGGAAGCAGGTTTAAACAATCCCTGGAAGAGTAACATCGTGAATAGGACAGATGAGAATATCCATCTTGAATGCTGCATTTAGAGGTCAAAGATAGTTGATGTGCATGGTTTTAAGTGCTAAAAATGCTGTTAATGACTATTGTGTCTTGATTTGTTGGCCGTTTTACACAGTTACTTTGAATAGGGTGGTTTGAATGCCATATGCATTCATACCAGTTTAAAAAATGAGCAAAAGTACTTAAAATGAGATTCTACTTCTGCTAGATCCTAAACAGTAAGATATTTGGTTGGGTAAGGTATCTTTCTTCATTATGTTAGAAAATTATTTAATCCGTGTTGGACTATGAGGAAGGTTTTGTTTTGGCAGCATATAGTGACACCGTAAAAACAGGGTTGAACGAAGATGATGGCTAATGGCACCATCAATCATACCTGGAGAATGTACTTCTGTGAGTCACTATGATTCATCACTCATGAAATTTTGTATTATGTAACTATCCTCCAGTTTTGCTTCAGAAATAACTGTGAAACTTTGTTACAGTTTTGGTAATAAGTATTGTTTGATATTCTGATGGGGTGAGGATCGAGGGGAGCTGGTCATGGGGAGCTGGGTGTGGCAATTGAGGGAGCTGGAGAAGGTGATTGGGGAGGTGGGTGTGGGGAACGGGGAGAGCTGGGGGTGGCGATCGGGCCGGAGACGAGGGTGGGGATCTGGAGAGGGAGCTGAGAGTGGGAATCAGGTGTAGCTGGGGGTGAGGATCAAGGGGAGCTGGCTGTGGGGGTCAGGGGGAAGGTGGCTGTGGGGATTGGGGTGAGCTGGGGATCGGGAGGAACTGGGAGTGGGAATCGTAGCGAGCTGGGGGTGGGGATCGGGGGGTGGTGGGAGTGGGGATAGAACATAGAACAGTACAGCACAGTACAGGCCCTTCGCCCCCACGATGTTGTGCCAAACTTTTACCCTAAACTTAAGGTCCATCTAACCTCCACCCCTATCTTATACTACCATCCATATGCCTATTTAATAGCCGCTTAAATGCCTGTAATAAGGCCGACTCCACTACCCTCTCTGGCAATGCATTCCACGCCCCTACCACTCTGAGTTAAAGAACCTACCTCTGATGTCTCCCTTATATCTACCTCCACTCACTTTAAAACTATGCCCCCTCGTAATAGCTACCTCCACCCTAGGAAAAAGTCTCTGGCTGTCTACTCTATCTATACCTCTGATCATTTTGTACACCTCTATCAAGTCACCTCTTATCCTTCGTCGTTATAAAGAGAAAAGCCCTAGCTCTCTCAACCTTTCCTCATAAGGCCTTCCCTCCATTCCAGGCAACATCCTGGTAAATCTCCTCTGCACCTTTTCCAACACTTCCACATCTTTCCTGTAATGAGGATCGTGGTGAGCTGAGGGTTGGGGTTCGGGGGAAGCTGGGGTGGGGTTCTGGAGGAGCTGGGGATTGGGATCAGGGGGACCTTGCTGTGAGGATCAGGGGAGGTGGGGTTGGGGTCAGTGGCAGCTGGGTTGGGGATTGTGGGGAGTTGGGGGTGAGGATCACATCGGTTTGGGGTGGGGATCGTGGGGAACTGGGGTTGGGTATCACAGGGAGTGAGTATCCTTTAAAATCAGACCTCCCCTTTTTTTAAGCTGCCAATCATCCATATGTAAGGTCTAACACATTTTCATTCACTTTCTACATGTGTGAGCTGTATCTACCTTTCATCCCCTAATTGAGAACGGTTTGTGGATCAGACATTGCAAGGAACATCAAATAGAATAAGCAACCAAAACTACCTATTTTCATTGAGAAAACAGAGTTAACTTTTCGGGTCCGGTGACCCTTCATCAGAACAGTCACCGGACCTGAAACGTTAACTCTGTTTTCTCCTTCACAGATGCTACCAGACCTGCTGAGCTTTTCCAGGAGTTGTTTTGAACTCCTTGCATCCAAATGAGTACTGTGATTTAGAGTGTCCTTCGGAGCTACTAACACTGGTGTTTTACAAAGTTTGAGAGTAGAACCTGACCCTAGAGTTAGATGTATTTCTTCAAGTAACATTGGAGTGGTGTAGGACAATATAAAGTGTTTTCCTGCTTTTCTTATTAATCCTTTGAAATACAGGAAGTAATATTTATTGGGAAGTACTGTGTTTGCTATTAATGAAAATAGGTAAAAACCAAAAGAACTGCAGATGCTGTAAATCAAGAACAAAAACAAAGTTGCTGGAAAAGCTCAGCAGGTCTGGTAGCATCTGTGAAGGAGAAAACAGAGTTAATGTTTTGGTCCGGTGACTGTTCTGAGGAAGAGTCACCGGACCCGAAAAGTTAACTCTGTTTTCTCAATGAAAATAGGTGGTTTTGGTTGCTTATTCTATTTGATGTTCCTTGCAATGTCCGATCCACAAACTGTTCTCAATTAGGGGATAAAAGGTAGATGCAGCTCACACATGTAGAAAGTGAATGAAAGTGTGTTAGACCTTACATATGGATGATTGGCAGCTTAAAAAAAGGGGAGGTCTGATTTTAAGGGATAACCTTAGTCATTAAGTGTGTTTAGACCATCAGCTATATTGCAGTAATTGCTAATCCTTCCATGTTTCTTTCAGTACACTTTCTGATCTTTGCTTCTAATTATTGTGACTTGTATGATTTTAAGACTAGCATTACATCAAATTCACAGGCTGATCTGTAATTACTGAATATCTGTTAACCCTCATTTCCATCCTGAAAATGTGGTTTGTTAGAAAATGTTTCATCAACAAAAGTCTCAACGCGCACAATATGTTAAGTGCTAAATGTATTTTGCACTTCATACTATAGCTACAACATTAATTTTCAACTTATCAAATGCTTTGAAGTAGAATTGAATGAATGATGACTGTGACACACTCTTGGTTCTTTGTATTTTCCAGATAAGTTAAAAGAAATGGTATTTTTTAAATAAAACTGCAAATGGCTCAATAATAGAATGACAATTACTGCCATTTCTGTGGTGCTTATTCCATACAATGTGACATCAAACCATTTTATAGGGCAGTGAACAGTGTGTGGTCACTGATTACATGGCAGGAGTTTGGAGAAAGTGGGTAATCAATTTGAAGTGGAGGCACTGAAAGTGGATTTTGAAGGCAGGGAAAGAGTTAGCAAAGCAGTCATGGCAGGCGAAAGAGTTTAGAAGTGATAAGTTGACTGAAGTAGCAGCTTGCATTGGTGGGATGACATGAGGTGAGGAGTGAGAAGTAAGGTAGTATTAGATGACTGATTGTTGCTCGGGAAATAACTGGACACAATTATGGAATTAGGTGCAGCAGACACACTTGTGGAGCAACTTGAGGCTGTAGCAACAATCTTTAAGCTAATTCTGTGGGATGTGTAAGTAGTGTCGTTGTGTCTGAAGATCACAGATCATGTGGAGTCACAGAATGGTGTTCCTTATAATATAATGTGACCAATAGTGTAAGTGGGGATGCTGGCTACAGAAGTATTTATGAATTCTCACTGTACAGTGATAAACATGTTGATTAGTGTTTTGGTGGAGAGATGGGAAGAGATGAAGAAAAATAAATTGGACTTGAGGGCTATTGTAGTTTAAAAATGCAATTATCTGGTTTGTAAAGAAGATTAATAATAAATGTGACTTCCTTTAACTTAATAAAAATAAAGACTTTGGTGGGTCAGAATGCTGAAACGTTGTTTTCGATTAAGGGTTCTAAGTCCAGTCAGATGCTCCTCCTTTAATGTTCATTCTATCTGTATTTATATCCAGGGTCAAAGGTACAAAGAATTTGAAAGACATTAGTTCTTTTTTTTTGGTCAGGGGTTTAGAGCCCAATACTGCCATGGTTTCAGTAAAAAATGGCAATAAGTTGTGGATCTTATTCAAAATAGTTACGTATTTAGATAAACCAAGATATTTCCATTGAATAGGAAGTGAAAGCACCTCATCGATATAGTTGGCATTCTCCTCCAAGATTTATGTTGCTAGGGAAAACAAGAGAAGCACTTCATACTTGTAATTTGGTATATTAAAACTCAGCTGCAGCAAACATGGCATTAGTTTAATTGGGTACTTTAAACTTCAGTTTGGGTTTTAATTTGTCTTGCAAAAGTAGGTTGCCAAACCTAATTCTATGCAGATGTATTGGAACTTGAAAAATGTAATTCACAAATGGATCTTCTTGGTATGTTCAGTCGAGTGCAAATCTGCCAACTTTTCTGCATTTAATGGAATCTCGTACTGGAAATTGAGATCTCCTGCTCTCGACCTGAGGATGTCATGCTCATAAGGACATCATTCTCACCCTTTCCTAATAAGAGCAAGTGAATTCAGTAATTTTTGTAGGATTTGCAATCCTAGCATTCAAAGCAATATTTGAATTTTAAACTGTGTAATTTTTGTCATTATTTTTCTATTGTTTAAATGATGCTAAGTTTCTGGCTTAATAGGTATGGCTTTAGCTGGGGGTAGAATGAGAAAAGGCATTTAAATCTCACAGTTGGCTTCTTGAAGAGAAAACGAGAAAAAGAAATCAAAGATAAGAGGGAGAAGTAAAATAAGCTTGTTGCTTTTAATTTTTCCTTATGGCCTATATGACTTACAAATGTTCAAACTACTGCCGAAAATAAATTTATTTACAGATATTCTAAACTGTTTTCATTTGTAGGTTCATGTGATGAGAGAGGTGGCCAGCATGGCTCAGGAGAAGTTGGGAGTCTCATGTGAAGTGATTGACTTGAGAACTATTTTACCTTGGGATGTTGAGACTATATGCAAGGTAAGGCTTGGTAACCTATCTTTTCAGATCACTGATTATTGCAACAGAAACTTTTTGAAAGAAAAAGTTTGCACAGTTTTTCAGATGGTTGCCAGATCCTAGATTGTACTGTTTCCCAGGCTTGAATTGAATTGGATCGTTTAGTGTCACGTGTATTCAATGTGAAAATAAGTGAAAAGTGTATACCTTTATCATACATACATGGTTCCATTCACATTAACTTTGAATAAGATAAGAAAAAAGAAATGAGAATCCAGCTTTCCTTTCCACATGCCAGAGTCCCGCTCCGGGCTCTCCAGCCTCCGCCAGAGTCCCGCTC